CAGTTGGAGTACTTCTGTGCTGGAGACACCCCTCTGGGGCAAGACTTGCTTCAAATGGGGCTTTGGTGCTCACTGAGTCTGACCCCTGAGTGTGTCCTTTATGGTTCCACAGAGCTTCAATCTGGATGGTCCCACTCTGATCTCTGGGTACACTGGCTCCTGGATCTCTAGGGAGGTGCTAATCTAGCCTCTGCCTGAGGCTATCTAGCAAAAGCCTCCCGTGCAGGGCTTGGGCGGGGCTAGCAGTTATGGCTGCTCTCAGTCCTGCCCTCAGAGGCTCTGCTACTCAATGTCCCGGTAATAGCTGCAAGCCCCTCTGAGAGAAAGCTGCTCTCGAGTTGCAACTGATACCAGACAGTCCCACTTCTCCCATATGAGTCTGGATCCCCAGAGACTCGCCCGGAACTGGAGCTCAGAGCCTGAGACTCCCTCCCGATTGAAAATGACAACCGTGCCCTCAGCCACCAGCCCGCTCCGTGTGCGTCTCTGCACCTTAGTATTTTACTTCTGCACTGCGCCTCCTCTGAGTCTCGGTATGCTTTTCTCTTTCCTTCTAGTTGTAGAATTTCCACTCAGCCAGCCTTCCTGTGGTTCTGGATGATGTCCGTTCTGTCTTTTAGTTGTATTTTTGAAGTGGTTGTTCGAGGCAGCAAACTCCGCTGTTTACCTATGCCACCATCTTGGTTTCTCCCAGAATTTTTTTACCTTTAGAAGACTGACTTAGATGGTTTGATATACAGTGAAGCCTTTTAGAGTTGATCAACCCATCTAGTAATATTGTTAGAGAGGAGACTATCAGGGATATATGTAAGTTTAGCTTTAGTTTTGCTTTTATTAATGTAAAAGCATTTACATAATAAGTTTGCATTACATCCTGGGCCCTGAAATATTTTTAAAAGAAAAACAATGTTATACAAATCATCTCTAGTTTGCTCACTTTTTCGTCATTAGTGTTTTTACACAGAGAGATGATAAAGAATTGTTTATGCACAATTGTTTGAAGAATTTTTTCTCTTTACAGTGTGCTTACTTCCTTACTATTCACTTACCCACTGAAAGAGCAGCAATGTAAGCACCTGTGAGAAACCTAACCTTTTCCCTTTGTAACCTACCGGGTTTGTGTGATTTTTGGAAATGAGACAAGTAGAATTTTGGCTTTTTAAAATTGTAAATATATAGATTAATTCACAAGTCCTTGTAAAAAATGCAGATGATTGAAATAGCATAGCAATTCTCCAATAATACTTGTTAAGCTAGCTCACTTTAGGGTAAACTTCTCAGTTATTCAGACCAGACAAGAATTAGCAGTGCTCACCCACCCATCTCCTGGCCTCCCTCCTATGTTGAGGGATTTATTTGAGTTCTTAGTTCTGTGAGTATGAGAATTATTCTGAACCCGTATGCATCCCCTGTAGTCTTTAGCTCATTCCAGGGCGCCAGGATCCAGTGGCTGTGGTTTGGCTTGTTTTCTCAGACTCTTCCCTTGAAATTTATATCCTGATCCTGGTATGTTAGAAAATGGCCATTGGAAAAAAAGTGAGATTAGATATGCAAGTACAATTTTGCTTACAGGGCCAACTAGCACAGCTTTGAGATTCTCTGTTAAGTTAGTTCTAGTGAATCTTCTTTCCCTTTAATAGATTCTAACTGCTCAGTTCATCGGAGCTGGAGTCTAGGTCAGAATTCATTCTTTCTTGTACACATGGACCACCTTCTCATCCCACTCAGTGTTGATGAACAAAAACAGGGCTAGTTTTATTTTGTCTTGTTTGCATACTGCCTTACTTTTCCTTTTCTGTCACCATACATTCAACTGCTTACAAATCACTCTCTACCCAAACCAGAGATTATCCCCATTTATCTCAGCAGTTAAGACAAACACAGTTCATATTCACTGTGGCTAAAAGCAAGGGTACATACTCAAGGTGGTTATGGTATGTAAGGATAGGAGGACAAGAAGACCAGTGCTCTGCTATGGAACATTATGAATATTGGCATTGTTTTTGTTTTTTTTAATTTAAATTCTTCATTGTTTAAAGTATTACATATGTCTCCTTTTCCCCCCCAGTTGACCTCTCCCCAGCCGCTCCCACCCCCCCAGCTCATGCCCTCACCTCCCTACTGTGTCCACCATTGGTTATGCTTATATGCATGCATACAAGTCCTTTGGTTGATCTCTTACCCTCCCCTGCCTTCCCTCTTAGATTGGACGGTCTGTTCGATGCTTCTGGCATTGTGTTTTTTTTCCCATTAGACTAAAATCCAGTTTAAATGGCTACCTTAAAAATAAACCTAATCTGTATATTCAGCCTCTCTAGAGAGACTAAATTCATATTTTCCTTTTTCCTCTTTTTTTTATTTCTCTTTACTTAGCATTGAAATCAATGTTACATCTTTATTATTATTTTGGTTTATTTTGTTCATTTGAATCTCCTTTTCTACTTTTTCTTTATGTTCGCTTCTATGCATAGTGAAGCTTGAGGCTATTGGTACAGATATTCACTAGCATAAAACTTCATTTATTTGGTTTATAAGCCATAATCTTATTTTGCTTCTTCCTGAGCCTGAGGAAAAATCTTAGAAAAGTCCATAGCGATTCAGGTTATAAACACAGTACTTAATTACTGCACAAGGTTAACCACAGAGTCTGCTGTCACAATAGAAATACTCAGAAGAGGGCCTGAAAGAAGCCTCCATTCTTCCACCCCATGAACTCTCTTGCCCTGACCGGGAATTGAACTGTGATCTGGTTCATAGGTTGATGCTTAACCACTGAGCCACACTGGCCCGGCCAGATCTCCTTATCCTTTGAGAACAATTCAAATATTACCTCTTCAGGAGACGCTAATGTCAGTAAACTCTGCAATTGGAAGTAGTCTCTTCCTCCTCTCCTGTAGTTGTCTGTTCCTTTTATTGAATGTTAGATCTCTCTGGTTCATTTAGAGTCGTTTATGTGCATTTTATCTCCCACTTAGATTCTAATCTTGAAGTCAGGAGCTGTAAGTTTTTACTATGTCCCTGCAGTGCTGATGCAGTGCCAAAGTCGTCCCTTATGCTTTGGAAGGGCTCAGTAAAACATCGATTTAAAGAGTCTTCCTGGCCCTGGCTGGTTGGCCCAGTGGATAGAGCATTGCCTGCAGCCTGAAGGGTCCCAGGTACGCTTCTGGTCAAGGGCACGTGCCCGGGTTGCGGGCTCAGTCCCCAGTGCAGGAGGCAGCTGATCAATGATTCTCTCTCATCATTGATGTTTCTCTCTCTCTCTCTCTCTCTCCTCCCTCCCCACTTCCTCTTGGAAATCAATAAAAAAATATGTTAAAAAAAAGTCTCCCAGTGCAGGTCAGATCTCTGACATTAAATTGCGGTGTGACACATATTTGTCATTCAAACCAGATTGTAGGTAGTTGGTGCTTCTAAGGTAGGTACACTATTTCCTGCTTTTATGAATGTTTTCTTAAATACTAACTTTATTTTTAATTTTGGGGGGAAATTAGTAACTTTACATGTATAAGATAGGAGTAACAATAATAACTTTGTCACATGGCTATTTTGGGTATTAACTGGGCTAATTTACATAAAGCACTTAACATAGCACCCTACATGTATTAAATGGTCAATAAACTAAGCAGCTGTCATTACTTTTAGAAATTTACAATTTGAGATTTCAGGTTGTTGGTGGTATGAAGGCAAGTGCTGCTGCTGCTGATTGGTGTGTTTTGAACTGTGCTGAATAGTTTCCTAGGAATTAAACTAGCTCTGAAATATTATGTCATTCGAGAATTTTGGTTTCTGGGTGACAGTATTGCAGTAGGAAACAGAACTGGCTCTCCCTTCAGAGGAAAAAGCTTTCTGTGGGAATCCATAGTAGCCGTTTTGTTCTGTTACCAGATTCTTTTTCCCAGCGCTCAGATTAAAACGACAGTTCAGCCCTGGCCGGGTGGCTCAGGCTCAGTTGGTTGGAGCATCGTCCCCGTGCACCAAAAGGTTGCGAGTTTGATTCCCAGTCAGGGCACATATCTAGGTTGCGAGTTCAGTCCCCCATCAGGATGCATATGGGAAGCAACCAATCAATGCTTCTTTCTCACATTGTTGTGTGTGTCCCCTGACCTCTCTCTCTCAAATCATAAACATATCCTTGGGTGAGGATAAAAAAAATGAGTGTAAAGTAGAGGATAGAGAGCCTCTGCAGGAAGGCTCAGCAGAGCTTCGGGGAAGGACTGCCTGGAGAGATGAAAAGTTTTTGTGTGTTAAGCACACACTTAGTAGAAATGATAAACACCACAATAGGAGGGGAAAGCTATATCAGATATAGGTGGCTGAGACACGAATTCCCAAAGTATCTAACCTCTCCCTCACATAAACGGGCAAACAGGAGACATAATGAGTGAAACAGAGACGGGGTGACGTGGAGGAATTTGTTCTCAAGGGGTGTGAGTGGGACCTGATTCAAGGAGCCATCAGCAGTGGATACCTTTCCCCTTTTGTAAAAAAGGAGCAAGCTAACTTGGGGGTGAGGACTGATAGACCCATCGAGCCGCAGTGAGCAGAACTAGATGAGGGCTGGGCTTTCCTCTAGGGCCGTGGTCAGCAGAGTGTGGCTCTTCCTAAGCCTTAGGAGTACCCTAATTAAGTTAATAACAATGTACCTACCTATATAGTTTAAGTTTAAAAATTTGGCTCCCAAAAGAAATTTCAATCGTTGTACTGTTGATATTTGTCTCTGTTGACTAATGAGTTTGCCGACCACTGCTCTAGGGCAGGGGTGGGCAAACTTTTTGACTCGAG